ACCAAGCTAGAATCCTAAATCAAAAGCTCAACCTTAGAATTCGATTTCTAGTTCACAAATTCTGGGAAATACAGAGGAACTCAAGCATTCAAGCATAGAAGACAAGCATGCAACAAAGGCATCAACATCAACTCATGAACATGCTTTAGAAAAATGGAGGCAGAGAGCACTAGAATGGGTGGATGATCCTCAATTTTGGATATGTTATAGACAACATAATTTCAAGAAAATTTTGTGAAGCAAGTGCAATCATACGAGCATCATAAGTTAAAGACACATGCAAAAGAAAAATCTGTAAAAACTCACCAGCCATGGATGAATGCAGAAGTTGCAAACCAGCTTTGAGGTACCAGAAAAATTCAAAAAATTCTGCAAATTTTACTGGCTATAGTACTCGAGCAGATGAACAACTTTGATCAAGGAAGTTTTCTGATCTGAGCTTCCGAAATATGACTTATGTACTGATGTACAATACCCACGGGTTTGGGTCTTGAAGAAGAAGAAGAAAGAAGAGAATGAGAGAAAATCAGAAAATAAAGCACATCATGCCAAGTAAAGCCTTTTCATATACAAAAAAGAGGTCAGAGCAAGATTAAAGTAAGAAGAGGAATAGGGAGAAACCCATACCAACAGTTTTGTTCTCACAGAAATTGGCACCCTTCCAGCAACTCGAGCAAATCAAAGAAAAGGGAATCCCAGAAGATTAGTGCGAGCCCTTCCTTGCTAGCACCCACGTTGTAAGCACTCACGTTGCTGCAATAACAAAATAGGTCAAAAGAGGGTTTGGTGATTAACTACCAAAACAAAGGGCAATATTCATGGATGAAGGGAACCCATCAAATTCCTCAATAAATCCAAGAGAAAGCTAGAGAATGGACATACCTTGCTAAAATCTCAACAGGTGACTTTGAATATACCAAGAAGGGAGCGAAATTGAGAATCATAGAGGAAAACCCGCACAAAAAGGTCCCTTCCAGCAACGGCAGAAGGGCTTCTTCGAAGGGAGAAGGGCTGAAGGGGTCGAAATCGACTTGGGCTCTTTTCCCAGCGGATGGAGGTAGATGTTTTCCACTTGATCTTACTCCCTCACTCAATTTTGAGCTGGGGGAACAAGGGAAAACGAAGAAAAGAAAAGTAGGAAGAAGTTGGGTCTGGTGCAAGAAAAGGGAAGAGAAAGAAAGAAAATAATAAAAAAGAAAGGAAAAAGGCGTTTGGCGTTGGGAAACTGCAAATAACCGCTGGGGCCAATTATGACACGCCGTCATTTTGCACGCTGGAAGAAGAGAAGTTCTCTATAAATACAAATCTGATTTTTTGGGTCGGGTTTAATTATTCAGCCCATTTCAGCACCTGTCCTGTTTCAAATATCCTTCCAGCACCTACCATGTTTTCAAACATCCTTCCAGCACATGCCCTATTTCAAACACCTTGCTAGCACCTGCTCTATTTCAAATATCCTTCCGGTACATGCCAATGCCAAACATCCAAGCATACAAGCCAAAATCAAGCATACACGCCAATGCCAAGTATCAAGCCAAAATCAAGCATACATGCCAATGCTAAGCATCAAGCCAAATATCAAATATACAAGTCAAAGCCAATCATGCAAGCCAAAATCAAGCATACATAACTAATATTAGATACACAAGTCAATGCAACTCTTGCAAACCACAATCATGCAAAATCAAGCCTTTCTAGTCACTCAAGCAAATAAATCACGCAAGCTAAGTAGTTATCTTGGCCTAATCCATCAAGCATTTTCTTCTATATCATGCCACAAAATAGGTCAACTCTTGGTAACTCTAGTAAGTGACCTCCAAAATTACAGTGTTTAGGAAAATTCTTCAAGGCAACACCCTTGGTGTTTAAGAAGGATTGGGTTTTAAGCGGGACCATTGCAACCCCTTCAACCTTCTCGGAAAAGATCTGGCTGTAATTTCAGAGACCCTTAACTGGTCATCCTTGAGCTGCTCCTAAAGTCATGTCATGTCATGCCACTGCAATTTATTTTGGGCTGAAAATTGATTATTCGGACCATTTCAATACACATTCATGGCCCCAATAATCAAGGGGGCTAATGTTGAGGCCCAAAAAAGTTCACAGTTGAGCCCAAATAAGTTTTCGGTCCAATACACTACTGTATTAAGAAAAATCACATATCTGAGTACACGAAGGCTCGTCATATACGAGTCACACCACACG